ATATAAAATTTTTGAAATATACCCATCTGGATAAATTGTTGAATCAGAATTTACACTATTACATCTAATAGTGTTGTAAACAGAAATTCATCAAAAGTGACACCTCAGAAAAGCTAAAATATTGAATTTTTGGAACTTTTGATAGAGCACGTTTTTAAATATTAATTTAAGTAAATGTATATTTTGTAAAGATTCTTTTTAATAAAAAAAATAAAATTTTGAAGAAGAACACAAAATCTTCTGAAAAATAATATCACATAAACTCATATTATTTTCTAATATATAACTATTTTATATAAAAATCAAATTCAATGATCTTAAAAGCGAAGGATAAACCTCAAAATTTACGAATATAATGAGTGGGAATATAATGCTTATCTATCATAAAACCATATGAAATATTCCCACTCATTATATTCGTAAATTTTGAGGTTTATCCTTCGCTTTTAAGATCATTGAATTTGATTTTTATATAAAATAGTTATATATTAGAAAATAATATGAGTTTATGTGATATTCTTTTTCAGAAGATTTCATTCTATATGCCTATGAAAAGTACTCTCAAAACTAACTTTTTCCTAATTATAATTAAATCTAGAATATTGTATTATGCTTAGTATTATTTCATTTTTCTCATTCAATTTAGAATTTACAAATGTCAAAAAATTGAGAGCTGTCACTTTTGATGAATTTCTGTTTATTACAATAGAACCTAACTGAATTAAAATCAAATCATCCGAAACATTTAATGGTAGATGAAGATGGTTTAGCATTAAAAAAATTGTCACTTTTTAAAAAATTTCGGATTTTTAAGAGTATGTTGAAAATTAAACATACTCTTAATATATGTTAATAATTATCATTTGATAAAATTATTTAAATAGTAATCAAAATATTGTTATAAATATTAATGGAGTTGAAAAATTATGATCATAAAAGTAAGATGTTAGCATCTAGCCTCAGTAGATACTAAGTCATATCAGAATAGACACATATTCATCCTCAATTGACTCTTACTCATCTTCAATTGATTCTCACAAATAATCAATTGATCCTCACTACTGATCAATTGATTCTCACAAATAATCAATTGATTCGCATTAATTATCAATAGATTCTCACTAAGAATCAATTGATTCTCAGTCACCCTAAATTGATTCTCACTACTTATTAATTGATTCTTACTCATCCTTAATTGATTCTCGCTAAGAATCAAGTGATTCTCACTCTTCCTCAATTTCTTCTTAGTATTATTCAATTGATTCTCACTGATGTTCAGTTGAATCTCACTAATAATCAAATGATTCTCACTCATCCTCAATTGATTGTCACTTATTCACAATTTATTCTTAAACAACCTTAATTAACTCACAATATTCTTCAATTGATTCTCACTAATTATAATTTGATTCTCAGTCATCCTCAATTTATTCTAACTCAATAAGAATATGAATATGAAAATGGATTGGAATAGGTGATAATTAAAATATATTGATATGAATTTGTGAGAGTGTCTTTAATAAAGAAAAATTTGTCAAAGAACAATAATGTCAAATTTGGTGGGAGCATATAGTAATGAAATATTTATTGATAAATATTAATGTCATAATAATTGAGAGCATGTAGTAATGAAAAATTAATTGATAAATAATAATATTAAATAGGGTGATTGCATTGATCAATACATATATATGAATGAATTTCGATGTCAAACCGGCAGTCATATTGTTAGTCAAAACGTCAGTTATATTCTCATTCATACACTCACTCAAACCGTCAGTCATATTGTCAGTCAAATTGTCAGTCATATTGTCACTCAAACTGTCAGCCAATTGTCAGCTAAACTCTAAGTCATATTCTAACTAAAGCCGTCACTCATATTGTCAGTCAAAACGTCAGTCATGTTGTTACTCAAACTATCAGTCTTATTCTCACTAAAACCATCAGTCATACACTCTCTTAAACTATGAGTCATATTGTCACCCAAACTCTCAGTCATATTCTAAATAAAACCGTAAGTCATAGAGGCTGTCAAACCGTCAGTCATATTCTAACTAAAAAGCTAATTCATAGTGTCTGTCAAACTGTCAGTCATATTGTCACTCAAATTGTCAGTCTTATTCTAACTAAAACCGTAAGTCATAGTGTGTGTCAAACCGAAGTCATATTGTCACTCAAATTGTCAGTCCTACACTCACTCAAATCAACAGTCATATTGTCACCCAAACTGTCAGTCTTATTCTCACTAAAACCATCAGTCATACACTCTCTTAAACTATGAGTCATATTGTCACCCAAACTCTCAATCATACACTCACTCAAATCAACAGTCATATTGTCAGTCAAACCGTCAGTTATATTGTCACTCAAACTGTCAGTCTTATTCTAACTAAAACCGTAAGTCAAAGTGTCTGTCAAACCGTCAGTCATATTCTCAGTCATACTGTAGTTCATACTATCACCCAAACTGTAGTTAGTATCCCTAAGTCGTGTACTGTGGCACTGCGCGCCTCCGTACCCACTTAGCGGTTTTGACACTTTACGAAACTGGTAACGTATATTTTACAACACAAACACAAACACCAACTTAACCTTAAATATTTACAAAACTATCTGACACATAAACGACTTCACTAACGAACTCACTAACGAATTCACTACCGTCCTCACTAAATAAAAAATAACCTTATTTTTATTTTTTTTTAAATTTTTTATTTCATTACAAAGACATGTCCGACTACATTTACTATGACTCTTTCCCAGAACGTTTCCGTGAACTATTCAAAACTCAAGTAAAACTGAGAAACATGCATTTTAACAAAGACAGACCCATTGACGATGAAAGAAACCCTGAATATATTACAATCCCTTATGACGCAAAGTTCATTGCATACATTCCTTATGGTCGCAGAGGAACGAAAACTATTTCAACAAAGAACAAAAATTATTTCTGGAGCGATGAAGAAAATTGCCTTATCTACATAAATGCATACTTAAATAAAGCTACATATTGTACAAAAGAAGGTTGGACTGGATTTGAGCTCTACATATACGACGACGATGGAAACAGACGTTGTGTATACCCATACGATAATATGTACCATTGTTTTCATCAAGCATTAAACGAATACATAGTCAGTAAGGGTCTCATTCCTGTTGAGTAGATATGTTATATTTTTGTTCTGTCATTTATATAAAAATAAACTTAAAATTAATGATATCACCACCCTCACACGTATGAAAACATAGCACAAAAATAATGTTTATGTTAGAATGTTAGATCTAACACGTTTTCTAACCTCAGCCGCTAAGCGGCGAGACCCTTTGGGTCTTTTCTAACCTGTTGAATTCATTGCTTTATAACTCTCTTCCTTGGTTTCTTTTTAGTTGCTTTCTTCACGTCTGTCTCCAACTTGACTGTCTTTCTTCTTCGTCCGTAATGATACCAGTTACTTCCACCAGTCAATGGGTCAAATGGTCTTTCGTAAGGATTTCCATACATTCCATAGGGACCATACGGAAGAACTACTGGTGGAGAAGAAACATTTTCTTTAGTTCCATCGAATCTATTTAAATGCATTGTTTCACCTTTCATCTGGTCATTAAAGTCTTTTGCGTGTTTTGCAAACTCATCGTCCTTTCCTAAAGCATTTTCTGACTCAGTCGCAACCAAATTGGATGCTTTATTTATGAGCCCTATTTTATTTAATCTTAACTTCTTTGCAACCCAGCCTCCAATCTTCCCTTTATTTGCATCTAATGTCTTCGAAACCCTTCCTCCACTCATTTTATTTACTGCGTCATAAGCCCCAAGTGCTTTTGCTCCAAATGCTAATGCTTTTGTTCCCATTGCGCCTAAAGCTGTCCAAGCTACCATTTACACCATATTAAAATCATCTCTCTTCAATATTATCTCATAAAAGTTCTCGTTACTGGAGAAAGTCAATGAAACATAAACATTCTCATGGACTTCGTCCTCGCCGCGTTGCGGCTTCATAAACTTCTTTCTTATCTCATCTATACGCTTCAAAATGTCTGAACAATTGCTAACATCTTCTACAACAGTTATTTCATCATGAATGACCTTCAAGAACAAGCTCATTTAATATGCTATTAAAATCATCTCAATAATGAGTCCATCCTTTCCATCTTTAGGTAGCACAACATCTTTCATTGAAGAAGGTTCGACAAGTCTTATGTTAAACTTACTGACAAAGTTTGTTATACTATAATGCTTCGGTGGCGAATACATGTAGTTTGAAAGACATAATATAGATTCTTCAGCAAATTCACTTATACTGGATTTTATAACAATGTTCTCACGAGACCAAATACCACCAATTGACAATCTTGTAAGCAATCCTGCTGAACCTTCTACTGTAAACGTCGATGGTAACATTCCACGAAGGTCATCTATTGACATCTTTGAGTCACTGAATTTAAATATTTTCTTAAAGCAATCGTCATTATCTAACCATGCAATAGCTTTGAAGTTTTCATTCGAATATACATCTGCTTCATTAAATGTAAAACCTGACTTCTTTGCAGAGACGACTTTAAAATCTATTGCATTTGTTTCAAAATTATATACTATGGTAACTTCTGAAGGTAATGGATGTCCTTCCGCAGTCAGTTGTTCTCTCACTACCGTTTGAAGCTTTGTGTTAAAAACTTTCATGTCATCTCCTGTGTCTAGGTTCACATACACAGCAACAGGAAAACTATCTTGCTTCTTTGTTTCATCATTATACCTCAAAACATTAAAGTTCTTCAATAATATTGTTCTTCCTGCTGGAATACTTCTAACTTGTCTTATTTCAATAGCTTTCTCACCTCCTACATACTCTACCCAGTGTCTTGGATATTCATAAGTATACTGACTTTCTTGAATTTTGGTAGGTTTCATCATAACGTGTTCATAGTATATCTTTATACTCTTGTCAGTTAGACTCGGTGCTATGTTCTGAATATTTCTGACTTGCATTTTTAATGAAGATAAAATGAAGCATTTAATACATGACGTAGATGAAGACATGAATGAAAGCAGTGAAAAGCTCAACAGTTCTCTCATTCTTCCTTTCAGTAAGGACTATGAGTTCTGTTCAAATGGTGTGTATTTCTATTGTGGAAAGATGGGTTCAGGTAAGACATTTAACCTCATTCGTCATATACTCATAACAGAGCGTTTAGGAAACGACTCTTACTATGACCAAATCATTATATCAGCAACTTCAGACTCTATGGATTCAACAGCGAAAACATTTATGTCAAAAGTTCAAGCCTCTGTCGTTAAAGTTCCAGATAGCGAACTCATTGAATTTCTTCAACGTTACATTCGACGTAAGAGAAAATATTATGCTCTTATATACGAAAAAAAGAGATCTGACATTGTGTCAGATCTCAGTAAAAGTGACATTTACATGTCAAAAAAATAGAATGAGTTTAAATAATTAAAATTGAGGGTGAGAGTAGTATTGTATGAAATAATATCTCTCACCCTCCAATTCATCCTATGGCGCCGAAAAAATTTTGGTGAAATGCGACCACATTTCACCAAAATTTCTCGGCGCCATATAGAGAACTAGAGCCTGTGAGGTACTGATACTATCCATGTACCTCGCAGGCTCTAGTTCCAAGCCAAAATGGCTAAAAATTGCCCGCAATTGTTCACATTGCGGGCAATTTTTAGCCATTTTGGCTGGGAATTGGAGGGTGAGAGTAGTATTGTATGAAATAATATCTCTCACCCTCCAATTCATCCTATGGCGCCGAAAAAATTTTGGTGAAATGCGACCACATTTCACCAAAATTTCTCGGCGCCATATAGAGAACTAGAGCCTGTGAGGTACTGATACTATCCATGTACCTCGCAGGCTCTAGTTCCAAGCCAAAATGGCTAAAAATTGCCCGCAATTGTTCACATTGCGGGCAATTTTTAGCCATTTTGGCTGGGAATTGGAGGGTGAGAGTAGTATTGTATGAAATAATATCTCTCACCCTCCAATTCATCCTATGGCGCCGAAAAAATTTTGGTGAAATGCGACCACATTTCACCAAAATTTCTCGGCGCCATATAGAGAACTAGAGCCTGTGAGGTACTGATACTATCCATGTACCTCGCAGGCTCTAGTTCCAAGCCAAAATGGCTAAAAATTGCCCGCAATTGTTCACATTGCGGGCAATTTTTAGCCATTTTGGCTGGGAATTGGAGGGTGAGAGTAGTATTGTATGAAATAATATCTCTCACCCTCCAATTCATCCTATGGCGCCGAAAAAATTTTGGTGAAATGCGACCACATTTCACCAAAATTTCTCGGCGCCATATAGAGAACTAGAGCCTGTGAGGTACTGATACTATCCATGTACCTCGCAGGCTCTAGTTCCAAGCCAAAATGGCTAAAAATTGCCCGCAATTGTTCACATTCCCATCTTTTGTTGGTAAGACGAAGAATATGAAATAAATTATGAAGAAGATAATGATGAATAAAATATCACTTTTTATATTTTTGACACGTAAAGTTGTCACTTTTCTGTCAAACTGTTTTTATCGTTTTCGTATATAACAATGCTATTGTAGAGTTCATACAGTCAGGAATGCAAAAGACTTCAGAAGAGATGGAAAGAATTATTGACAAACACCACTTACGTCAATACTCAGGAGTTTACGATATGAAACGACTGACAAACTACATTCTATCAAAACTTTCAAAATACCCCTTCAAAAAGTATCCTTCAAACACTCTGCTCGTTTGTGACGACTTCGCCGGAAAAGGTTTAGTGTCAAAAGCAGACTCACCATTAGCTAACATCATAACTAAAGTCAGACATTACCACTTAACTGTAGCAATACTTATGCAAACATGGCGTTTCCTTGCTTTAAACATAAAACGTCTCATAACTGACTTCGTTATCTTTCAAGGTTTCTCACGCTATGACATTGAACTCATTTGGAAACAGTCAGGTATAACATTACCTTTTGAAGAAATTTGGGAAGCATATAAGTCTCTCATCTCTCCTCGTTCATACCTTGAGATTCATATCATGACTAATACCATTAAAGTCAAAAATATTCCATGGGAACGACCAACATTGTTTTAAAGTTTAACCTTCAATTGACTGATGGTAAACAAATTCCATGCATCTCTGTCGCCATTTCTGTTAATATTTTTGCTGTCATTCATATCATCCACTTCCCCATCCGTTAGCTTTTGAGGATATGTTAGAATAGCTGTTCTTAAATGAAGGCTTTTCACCTTTGAGAGCATAAACTCTATAACTTTCTGCATACTTTATGTTTGAACCTCCTGAGCCATCATTGACATAAATTTTTATAGGCTTCCACCCTTTGTTCATATTCCTGCTTCTTCCCTTAGCTCTTTTGTTCAGTAGTTCTACATCTTTATACACAGCTCCTGTCTCAGTGAATTCAACAATATTTTCATTCGTTAGCTTTACATTCAAACCCTTGTCGAGTATATTGTTCATTTCATACATATAAAAGGTTTTTATTCTATATGAAATGAGAAGCAAATCCATCTTAGCTGGTGCCGTTAATGTTCCAATTGAACCAACATCAAATGTTGACTCACGAACGACAAACAATATTGTCATAAAGAATATAGTTCAGAGTGTTTGAAAGAAAAAGAACCAGAACTTAAGTCGGGAGGGCTCAAAGAGCCCATCTTGGCGCATGGCGCCGTGAATTTAAACTCAGCTTCAAACGCTAACGCTACATCAGATGTTAAGTTAGAGTATCCACCACTGGACCAAATTCTTTCAAGAGAAGCCAACGACAACCCTTACACAAATGTTCAAACAAATCCTTCAGATAACGTAGACCATTACCTTCTTCAGTTATACCAAACAATTTTACTCAAAGACGATAAGAAGCTTTTGACAAATCTTATAAGCAAGAACCAAATAATTCTAACAAAGGAGGACCTTGAAAATGTTATCTCACGAATAACAGGGAAACAATGTGTCATTGACTATCTCGACCCTGAAATCGAATGCTGTGGTCAAACTCCACTATTCATGAAAATAGGTAACATCCGCATCATTGAAACACCAGGAACTACAGGAGTTGAGTTTAAGTATAAATATTCGAACGAGTATACAAAACTATCTACTTACTATAAGCTTTGCTTGAAATATGTTTTAGTAAATTAAAGCAGTCAGGAGGGCTCTTTGAGCCCATCTTGGCGCTTTGCGCCGTCAGTCAAAAAAATTCAAGTTAGCAATTTGTAATATCTGTCCAAAACTTCTTCAACAGTATCGAACTCATCTTCATAATGCAAACCTAATCTTATTGACTTGGTGCAGTTTTCACTAACACAATATAGCGCTTTGCGCTCGGCGCCTTTGACGCCTTTTTCTGTTCTCTTGACTGGCATAACTAACTCATTTGTTTCATCAAACAGCAACAACCAAAGTTCATGACCTAATACATAACATTCATACTTTATATTTTTAGCTCTGAGTTCTCTTGTAAGCTGTTGCATTTAATATTTTCTAAAAAGTCAACTTCAACAGTCATTCGCACTGGTGCCTTCAGTTCTACAGGCTCTCCTGAAAGTCAACAAGTCTGAATTGCATGTCTTTCAAATTATGAGGACTAATGCGAACCCATTTACCTAAATGAGTTGCTATGACAGGAACGTTTGGAATGAACATTGAATTGACTGCATAACAGAAGGATTTATATTCTACTGAACCTTTACTATTAACTCCTGAAATACCTGTGACATTAGCTATTTTTGACTCAACGTACAAACAATTACCATAACATACGTATGGAACAGATTTCATCTCAATCGTTTTGTCAACACTTTTCAAAGGAAATGTCATATGGTATGCTCCCAGAAGAAGTTGTACTCTATGACTCATTCTGGTTCTTGAACTCTTTCTTGCTACTGAACTTCAATGTTCCCTCAGAAGAGAGTTCGACATCTATGTTGTCAATAGTTTCTTCATTTATGAGAGTATCTATGACTCCAGCAATTTTATCTATTCTGTACTCGGCTCTGTTAGGAAATGTTACAACACTTCTTTTGTCATCTATTTCAATCTCTATGAAATCTGTTTCATCTGTTATGACAAAAGTTGCGATAGTATTGAAGTCAACAACTCTGAAAGCAAGCGCTTCATTCTGAAGACCTAAGTTTGTTTGTAGCTTTACTGTCCCGTATTCGTTTGGGTCTGTACTTTGCAAATAGAACAACATTTTATTCTCATTAAAATATGACTATTGCTGCATATGCGTATGAAACAAATGAAGCAAGAAGAGCACATGAACTAGTAAACGAAAACTCAACTTTAACCATTGAAGGCAATGATTTAGTCATTGACGATGGAAAAACTAAAAAAGTCATTGATTTCGATACTTTTAACACTTATGACCCATTCATTACAACAAGCAAGGTTCCCATCATAAATGATGGAACGGTGCAATATATAAATTCTACAGTAGATGCCTCATTAGTGAAAGTATTAAATGTTCTCATTGAATTGTTAAAGAGCTTTCGATTTGACGACAACATTAAATGCCTAAAGAATTTAGTCATGAATGAGAAACAAATTCTCGGCGTTGCTGGTAGCAGTAATGATGTACACCTTATGACATTAGAATATTATAACGAACATAAAGATGAACTGAAAGGAGAGAAGGGTGACACCGGACCTCAAGGACCACAAGGAATACAAGGAATACAAGGACCTCAAGGCGAAAACGGTTTGGATGGAAAGGATGGAAAGGATGGAAAAACTGCTAAATCATGGATATGGGACCTTATAAATACTGGTTTAACAGCTGCTTCATATGGAGTTCTTCAATACCAAATCGGAAAGATATGGGCGGTACTTGGTGAAGAAGTTTTAAATGACGTTAAAAATGCTTTGAACTTCATTTCAAATGGTTCGGATACTATTAAAACTTTATCTGGTTGGATGCAAGAAACAAGGAGTCAAATAGATACTGTAAGACGTATAGCAAACAATGCACGTACGGGATTGGATACTTTACGACAAGCACAAAATACACTAAAGGAAGCAAATGATATTCTTGGCTCAGTATCAGACATGCATGAAGATTGGCTTAAAGGTATTGACAAATCTTTAAAAAATCACAGTCAGTCTATTGCTGACTACAAGAAAAGTATAGATTTTTTACATAGTGCTATGGACGTACATGATGGAAGCATAAGGAACTTACTTAATGCTAACAATAACTTACCAGGAACTATTAAAGCATTTATAAAGTCCTTTGTAAAACCCGGTGCTCTAACATTTAGGTCTTTGAGAGCAAGAGCATTGAAGTCAAGAGATGCAGAAACTCCAACAGAACCTACAGAAGGAACTGAAACAACAGAAACTCCAAAAGAACCACCAAAACCAACAGCTAATGAAATATTGTTCGAATATTTTCCAAGGTACTCTGTTCTCATTGCATACATTCAAGAAATACTTAAGAAAGCAGACTTGACTTTAGGAGATGATGAAAGTTCTGTATATCTTTCGTTCCAGTTTCAAATAGCAGAACTTTTGAGACAGATATGCTTAATGTATGACAACATCTCTGATTTCACAAGATATGATGACGACCATGACCCCGAACATGGTGAAGAAGAAGTTTTACAAACATCCATTAAGACAGGAAAGGTTTTAACTCAAAGTCTCATTATTGACACCAAAGATGGCGAAGTGGACGTTCTTCAAGAGCTGAAGAAAAATACTTCTTCGGGAGGTGGTGGTAGGCATGAACTTGAAATAAATGAGATAGAAGAGAAATTAGCCGAAAAAGCAGATAAAGAACATAAACACAATATCTCCGATATAAATGAACTTCAAGCTACATTAAATAGTAAAGCGGACAAAAATGAACTTGACGCAATGAACAAAGTTTTGAAATCTCATAAACACAACATCTCCGATATAAATGAACTTCAAGCTACATTAAATAGTAAAGCGGACAAGAACCATGTTCATTATATAACTTCAGACGAACAGATTATAACGGACTACCATGGATATTTAACACGAAGTGATGAAGCGAAGACAAAAAATGTTAATGAAAGAAGATATAAATACATTCGTGCTAAAGGTTATGACATAAGCTGTACTGTACAGTATGATGTAGCTAAAGCACCAGAAGCATTTGGTTATACCGGTGAAATTTATGCCTCTACTTTCAATGTTAACGGTGTATTAGTTGAACCAAGATTTATGTTAAGAGTTAAGGCAAAAATAACGTTTGAAGATGCTATTAAAAGTAAAGCTGACAAAGTTGAACTCGAAGCAACGAACAAAGTTTTGAAATCTCATAAACACAACATCTCCGATATAAATGAACTTCAAGCTACATTAGACAGTAAAGCTGACAAGAACCATACACATAAATCCTTCACTACTGTTAGAGCAGACGACATAATATTGAACTTTGACCTTGGTTCAAGTGCACCTTTAGAGAATCCGAGTACAAGCGTAAAAGATACTCTTAACAGTTTAGATAAGAGTTGCAGGAACATTGAAAGTCATGCCAGAAACTTTGAAGCATATGAACTACCCGCAATGTTAGATAAGAAAGCAGACAAAACTTATGTAGATGAAGAACTATCAAAGAAATTTTCGAAACCAGATACAATGACATTTACAACAGAAATTATAAATGGTGAACCAGCAACTCCATTTGAATTTGTTAGAGGTCTTCAACCAGATACTTTTGAATTTTTCTTGGATAATTCTATTGAACTAACATTACATTATAAAAGTGGAACAAATGCAACATTTCATCCGGGAGATACATTCCAAATGGTATTTAATGACATAAGTTCTTTAGAATATGTTTATAGAGTTATGAGCATATATGATTTAATATATCCTATAGGAGCTGTTTATACGTCTATGAATCCAATAAATCCAAACACTTTATTTGGTGGTAGATGGTATGAAATAGTTGACAGTTTTCCATTCTACACTAATACTCAGTCAATGAAGATGGGAGGTTCAAAGAAAATAGGTATTGAAAACCTTCCTTCACATATGCATAGGTTCAGTGGAAGAACATCTGTGGAAGGAAACCATTCACATTCAATAACAAAAAGAGGTTATACAAATCTTGCAGCGGGTTCGGATAGACAGGGAATGCATAGATATGATATCACAACTGACCCCAAAGATGTTAGCACAGGTATTTTCTGTGGAACTGCAGGAAATCATACACATGTTGTAGCTGGTATTACAGACCCAGCAGGTAATGGAAAAGATTATATGCCTCCTTATATAACAATGCACGCTTGGATACGAGTTGGTTAAAATCTTTAACTTTACATAAATGAGCTTGAAAGAAGTATTCGAACAACATCCATGGAGGTCATTTAAGAAATTCAATGAAGCTGCAAAGAGTTGGGGATTTACTAACAGAGCTGAAGTGAAAAGGTTCTTTGACAAAAATGTTGTACATCAAACAAAAAAAACCCTTACGACTACTTTTTACCAATTTACTCCAACACTCCTGACGCATACCAATTTGACACTCTCATTCAAAGCAGAAAAGGAGGACATAAACCATTCCTCATCTTCATAAATGTTAACACTCGTAAAGCATATGCATATCCAATGAAAAATAAAGGAACTCGTGAAGTGTTAAGAGTTTTACAAAAGTTTGTAGCAGAACATAACCCAAGTACTTTAACATCAGACCAAGACAGTGCATACCTCAGCAATGAAATCACAGAATTTCTCATTAAGCATAACATAACTCACTACACTACTGAAGACCATAACCATAACATACTCGGCATCATAAACCGCTTCATAAGAACGCTCAGAGATTTAAATCAAGAGCGAGACTTTACCGAAGAAACAATGAAACATTTTCTCGAAGTATATAATTCCTCAACACATTCTACAACAGGACATACACCAAATTCAATGACACAACAACAAGAAGAAAAGTATATACAAAAGAAACGAAGCCAAACACAAAATATCAGAAATTCAACACAATTTACCCTCATTCCTGGTACAAAAGTTCGTGTAGTTCTTGACGACAAACCGTTGACAAAGAAACGTTTAAGGTTAAGTAGAAACTATTATATCGTAGACTCTACATAAGGTAATGGATATCTTATAAAAGCTGCTGACGACTCCATAGCATTTTACCCTCGACATAAGTTAGTTGAAAGTAGTAATGGCAAACTTGCTGAAACCATTGACGAAGCAAAGCGAGGAGTGGTTATTGAAATACTTGGCTACAACATAAACGATGACACTTATAAAGTAAGATATGAAGGAGGTGTTGAAGATGTTATACCATCTAAGAACTTGAGAGAGTCAAAGCCAACACATCTGGGACCATTAGAGCGGGAGTACTGGAAAGACAAAAATATGCCAGAAAGAATAAGAAAATTCTTCTAAACTTTTTCATTAGATGTAAATCAGACAAAATATATTTTAGGTGAAGAGGTGAGATCTCACCTGTTTTCTAACATGGTCTAAAACACACAAAACTCATGAATTTTGTGTGTTTTCAGCATTATTTTTTTGCATTATGACACGAAGTGAACTTTTGCACTTCGTCAAAAACTCATGAATTTTGTGTGTTTTCAGCATTATTTTTTTGCATTATGACACGAAGTGAACTTTTGCACTTCGTCAAAAACTCATGAATTTTGTGTGTTTTCACAAAAGACCAAAAATAATGTTTAGGTGAAGAGGTGAGATCTCACCTGTTTTTTCACCCCCGTGAATTTTCATGAATTTTCACAAAAGACCAAAAATAATGTTTAGGTGAAGAGGTGAGATCTCACCTGTTTTTTCACCCCCGTGAATTTTCATGAATTTCCTTAAGACAGAAAAAAATAACGCTAATTTTATTTTTATTTATTTTTTTATTTTGTATAAAAGATATGATTTCAACAATCGGCACAACAACAATTCAAGCCGCGAACGGCGGGACTCTGTCCACAACAACAGCACCAAACTCGTTAGTCATGAATCCTACGTCAATGTTAGTAGAGATGAAAAACTTCATTCCTTCTTCATATACTTTCGAAACAAAAATCCAGAAGATAAAGCAAGAACTTTTAACAAGTAATTTAGACTGTAGTGCGAAAGATGAAGAAAATGAAGAATATCTTTATGAAATGCAGGACATTATTGACCATTTACCCAAATTGCCTGAAATCCAACAACAAAAACTCACTATTCCTGAATTCGACGAAATTGAAGTGAAACCAACTGACTCAGTAGAAATAAAGAAGTTCATACGTAAAGTAAATTATGAATTCCTTGGTTTTCATTGCAACCATAAGGTTATGGACAAAGATTGCGACATGGTATATAAAAACATTTCTGACATATATAAATCTGAGGAGTTTAAGACTTACGATAACTTTGTTTCATTAGTTGCAAAATGTGTTTGGGAAATAAGAGATAAAGATAGAAGAGGCAAAGTATGGAACGAACAAATAAGACCCGCTATGTTTGAGATGAAGAGAGCAATTGACGCCTTAGTTGTTTTAGCTGGTTTTATTTCAATGTATAATGCAAAAATGAACCCACAATGTTCAAAATGTAAAGCAGCAATAAGGAAATATAACTACTCCGTCAAAGAGATAGAAAGAATGCGAAACGACTATGCTGACTTAAAGAAAGAAGTAGAGAAACCAGCAGAAGATAAAATGGACATGTTAGCATTTCTGAACAAAAACTATCCAACAGTAGAAGATTTCCTTCTATCTGACGTCAAGAAGAAATATAAAGAGACTTTCGGCATTGTTAAAACTTTTGATATCCTCAGCGAAGAAATAGAAGCTACAAAACTGTTTAGGATTTCAAATATACATCGTACAATTCATGTAAAACGCTTGTGAAAAAAAGAGGTGAAAAATTAGGTGAAAAAAGAGGTGAAATCTCACCTCTTCACCTAAATTATATTTTTGGTCATTTACACTCATTTACGAAGAAGTCATGACAAAGCATTTACGATGAAATCTTGACAAGGCATTTACGAAGAAGTTATGACAAAGCATTTACGAAGAAGTTATGACAAAGCATTTACGAAGAAGTTATGACAAAGCATTTACGAAGAAGTTATGACAAAGTCAAGACCCTTTGGGTCTCGCCGCTTAGCGGCTGAGGGTGAAAAATTAGGTGAAAAAAGAGGTGAAATCTCACCTCTTCACCTAAATTATATTTTTGGTCAAAGCTTCCACGAGAGAAAAGATTCCTCATTTGCTAAGGATTCCAAAAATGAAAAAATCGTTGATTTCGGCTGAGAAAAAACGGCAAAAACCCTTCTTCCACGGGAACAAAGAAATAAAGAAGAAATAAAGTAAATTTTTTATTTATTCCCGTGGAAGATAGAGCACTTTTATGACACTTTTTATTCACGACAAACAAGACAAATAAAGAAAATAAGAAAATACGGCGCCGTCGCGGTTCGAACCACAGACCTGACCCCTCCATAACACTACCTTAGACCACTGTGCTACGTAGCCTGTCGACATAAGATTTTATAAATTGCATATTTGACGTAAATTTATTTCCATCTGGCTTCCCACTGCATAAGATATTCATACGTGTTTGTAAGACATTCATTAAACTTCTTTTCTATTGCATCTAATCTTGCGTTATTTTTTTCAATAGCTTGTCTGTATTCTTCATCATCTCCAGCAGTGTTTGGGTCTTCACGTTTAAAATATTCATTGTTAACCAATTTTTTATCTACAAATTTTATTAGTGTTTGATTCACTTCGTTATGATAACGGTCATATTCTTTCAATACGTAAGTGAAGACAAAATGCGTCGTACCTTCAATCTTAAAGCTTAAAGAACTTTCAACACAGTTTTGAGGGTCTGTCAGTGCGTCAATGAGATAGTATTCGAAGTCAGTCAATAATCTTTTTAAAGTCATTTCATACAGGATAAAATTTAATGTTGTGAAGAAATAGTGTTTATCTCAGAAAAAATAACGCTAATTTTATTTTTATTTATTTTTTTATTTTGTATGTAAAGACAGTAATGACAACATCAGAGAACACAACAACAGTTATAGTCCATGAAGCAATAAATGAAGAATACGAGTACATACAATATAACAAACAGTTACGTCTCATTCGTTCAGTCAAAGATGACATGTACCAAATGCAAAGTATTTTGACAGCATGTTATGCTCCAGATACTAAACTTCCTAAAGACTGGTTTAGGAACCAAAGCACTATTGAACTATTAAATGAAGCACAGCGAGACATACTTTTTTCTGAAAACAGTGAAGAACAGCGAGTAGGTAAAAAACCCAGTCGCCAAAACTCTATGAAAATCGTGAAAAATGCCAAACGGTTTGAGAGGATATTATGTTCATAGACTTCTCGTAAATGTTGTAGCAATGTGGGCTTCACCTCGTTATGCTTGGTATGTTTGTAAACTTCTTGACGAAATTCACAGACAAGAACGCGAACAGATGGAAAAAAACTTCAAGCAAAAGATGAAGTCATTGAATCCAAAGACAAAAGCATACAGAAAAGAATACCACGTTCAGTACCAAAAGGAAAGGAAAAGAGTTATAAGTATATGATTTACGCTGAAGAGATGGAAAATGAAGAAGACAGAGATATGGTTATGTTGCATTTAGTCAGAAGAAACAACAAAAGCTTTTATGACCTTGCTAAGATTTACAAATCTGACAGAAACTGGTTCTATCGTGAAAACTTACCGATTTCAATGACACCGAATGAGCAAATAAAGGAAATTGTCAAAAATACTCTTCCTCAAACACACTATGACATCAAAGGTTGCACAATACTTACATTCAAAGAAGACTTACCATTGTTAAAGGAAAAAATAACAGAGTATTTCGATAACTTCAAAGAGGAAGAATGAAAATCTAAGCTAATTTTATTTTTTTTTATAAAATTTTATCTCATATGAAAGAACATGAATTTAGAATATTCGGAACTCATGACAGAAGAGGAGAACGAACAGCATGTAAAAGATTATGCAAAATTTATGAAGACATACAAAGCATTTAAACAATATCTAAATGCTTCTAAAGATTATGCAAAATTTCTGAAGGTATATAAAGCTTATGAAAAAGCGTATGAAAAGTTTATACATTGGGGAATTGTTGTAAAATATCCATATGAAGACTAACCAAAAATATATTTTTGCTTAAATAGCTTCAGGGTCAATTTCTTCAACCATTTCACTTCCTTCGTCAATGTCAATTGAAGCTTCTTCAACCTTTGGTAAGAATTTCTGTATAACATCTTTGTTCGTTATTGTCTTCAGAGATGAAGGATAATATTTCACATTTGTTTCACCCTTCTTATATTCTTTCTGTTCGGAAAGATTCATAGCAATACTGAAGAAGTCAATGTTGGAGTTCTTTATAATAGTATAATGAGTATCTTTGACATTCACGAAGAAACCCTTTTGTTTCAAAACTACTGCTAACTCTTGTGAAGTATAACGTTTGCGGTCAATGACAATAGCTAATGGTCTGACATACTGACCAAACTTAGATTCTTTCACAAACTTCTTGTTAAAGATAACATTGACGTTTGAAGCATTATTGAACTCATTCTTGATGACAGTAGCGAGAGCATTGTATGAAAAGAACTTGCAATCTTGCATGTGTTTCATTAAAATAAAAATATTAAATTATTTTGAAAAATAACTTAAAAAAATCTAATCTAATTTTTTCAAAAAATATTTTTTTATTTCCTACTAAAGATGTATCGGAAGTTGTCTAAGTTAGAACACTCGGAAATAAAACAACTTCTTACAGAAGCTAATATAGATGTTGCAAAGCATTACACAACAAACAAAAAGGCACTCGCTGACATCCTCAATGACTATAATGGTGAATAACTTATGATAGAATTCATGAGTTCATAAAGCCGCAACGCGGCGAGGACGAAGTCCATGCAAGAGCATTTCCTTTAAATGACGTTGCTATTGACTTATATCATAGACGTTCAATACCTCATGAAGTAAGAAGAGAGATGTTTGACATAACAAATGCAAACGTTGGTGAAACAAGAAGAGCTGTACCACATGAAGTAAGAAGAGAAATGTTTGACATAACAAATGCAAACGTTGGTGAAACACGA